GGGCAGGAGAAAGGGGGGCTGCTGCTCCTGTCCTTCATGGATGATTGGCTGCAGACAGCCCTCACAGCCAATCAGCAGTGTGAGGTGGGGCCAATGGGGCCCCTTGGGTAATCAAAGACGTGGGAGACCCACCATTGCACCCTTCCCTGAAAATGGCTGCTGCCCCCATAATCTGCATGTGAAATCAGCTGGCAGCTACCTTGAGTTCGGCAGACCTCTAGTTACAGGGCACTGTGGCCTAAAAAAGCCAGCAATGTTCCATGCATCACTGGTCACATGCAGTCTCACTGTCAGCTGCCTGCCAGTGACCTACTCTGGAAACTTCCTATCATCCTCACAGAGCTGGCATTGTGACCAATGTATCAGCTGTTATCATGGAGCAAGAAGACCCTGTTCCTCCCACTCAGTAAGGATAATCTAAGCAAATGCTTGCATTGCCTGTTGTCTTCACAAGCACTCATTCAGCTGGAGTAAGAGCACTTCTATTAAGAACGCAGGAAGGGGCAAGCAGCACCCTTTTACATCTATGGGTTATGAAGAGCAACTACCAGCTCTTCACAAGTGGCCTTGCAGACAGAGAGGGGCAGCTGAGCTGCAGCCTCCAATAGCTCCAAGGATGATTGAAGAGTTTGGATCCCTATAGCAAGCAGGAGAGAATGCCAGTTCACTGATGCTTAGCAATGAAGCACAGAACAGCAGTCCAGATCAGCTGCATCCAATAGTGGGACCACAGCAGTTCCAACACATCATATCAGAGAGACACAAGGGCTGGAGGAGCTGGGAATGCGACTGTGGCATGCAGAACCTGAGAGCAGCTTTAAGCCTTGCTCATTAGGATGATAATTTGTTATCCTCTTAATTCTCAATCTTTTAAAAGCAATTCCCTTGTCCTAAAAATCCGTATTCAGGTCCTTGTGTCCCCCACAATGGCTTGGCTCATATTTGCTTGTACCCACCTTTTCTGAAGGGGAGTGGAAGGAAAGGTCCATTTTTGGCTAAAGTTCATTAGGAAGAAGAAGAAGCACCATAACATTCACCCTGGGAAAAACAACTGTACCTTCCATAGCCTGAGACAGAGTGAACCCTGATCTGTGTGCACTACAGTGCATCTCTAGGGAAGGATTAGCACATACCTGGATCTCCTCTATGGTGTGAACAATGAAGGTGTCCTGCAGATCCTCCATGGCCCCCTCCATCCAGTTATTGAATGGGGCGGCTCGTTTGGCATATTCCAGGTACAACTGATCAATTGTTTCCAGCAGCTTTTCTGTCCTCTGGGAATTCCCCCCACAACACACAAAAAAAGGGTTAGAGAAAAGTCACCAAACAATACGCTCTGCTGCTTGCTGAAGCAGAGACTTCCTCCGATACGTTGACTGTTGCCTGTTCCCCACTGTGTTCTCAGAAGGATGTTACTATTAGATGTGTTCCTGCAATTAGGCAGAGTACTGGAAAGACCAACTTAAGCACATGCAAATTAAAAATATTTAAGTCAACTCCATGAACCACAGCATTCTATTTTATGGTTATGATGACCTTACAGAAGGGATGATCTTTTCCTTTTTCTCTGGTGCCACTATTTAAGAAAATGATGTTTTTTCAAACAAATCAGTTACAAAACGTAGGAAACTCAAGAGAATGTAAAGGCTTATGCAAAGATGAGGTCCCACACTTAATGGTATTATTGGCCTCAGATATATGGAATATAGAAATCCAGTACGAGTTAACTAAGATGGACACTCCAGCTTTGGAAATGGATTGGATACCTGAGGATGGAAGTCAGTACACGTTGCGGGTGGTTAGGAATCCATGCTAAGAATGAAGGCTACGCCTGTATTTATGGCACAGAGTAGCCTTGGAAGTTATCTCCAAGTCAGCTATGTCCAAGTGGCAGCAAATGTTTTGAGAGAGAAAGAGGGAAGATAATTGTCTATGTACATCGTGCCCCTCAACTTCCAAGTTCCTCGTAAGGAGGAACAACAGAAGGTCCAAAATGTATGGTCTACTAGTTGGTCTAGTAATCTCCAGGACAAATCATCAAGGAGCTATAGGGTTCCCATCTCCTTTTGGAGTAATGGCTAGGAATGGCAGTGATGATGTCCTGTTCCAAGGGATGCATCAGATCCGCATGCTCAGTCTTTTGCCATGGGGGAAGGAAGCAAACAGTGGTAAACTTTCACAAAACCATTCAACTCTTACTTCTCCTAGATGTCACATGGGCTTTGGGCTTGCACCATCCCCTTGTGCACTGTGTTATTGGACCTACACTAAGATTATGAGATCCTTGGGCCAGGAGCAGCATCTTCTAGGATTGCAATGGGCCAAGATCTCTATGTTTTAGGACTTCAGAAACATACAGCTGGAAGGTGTTTGCATCTAGATGTAATCTAAGTTTCAGTTTGACAGCCAGCCAGAGAAGAATCTCGGGGAAGCAGTGACCCACAGAGAAGAGAATCCTTATAAACAGGAAGTGAGATAACTGTTTGATTACCAAATTAGCATAATACTTTAAAGTGCTGAAAGGCTCCTCTATCAGCCAAACAAGCCCAGCAGGGGCAGCAGTAATGCAGGCTTCCTCTAGACCCACGTTTCTCAACCTATGGGTCATAAGACTATACAAAAGGGCCACAAACAAACTTTAAAATTGGATCAACAAACTTTAAACATTTATTCTCCTTTAAAGGAGATGGATGGTCATTTTCCTTTGCAGGCTGGCAGAGTTCCAGCCTGCAAGCGGCTGTTTGGGGCCCCCTATACCCACCCCTTGCCCCACACACTGGGGGGCTGGGGCCTGGGGGTGGGGGG